CCCATTTACACAGTATTGGGTTGTCTTTTATTGAGTTGTAAGACTTCATATATATTGAATGCTAGTCCTTTATATAAGATTTTCATATATTTCTCCCAAATTATAATTGTCTTTTCACTGTCCTGACAGTATCTTTTGAAGCACAAAATTTTTCAATTTTTATAAAGTCCAATTTATCTCTTTTTTCTTGTATTGCTTGTGAGTGTGAGGAGTTAAGACTATTCTACTCATATATATATTTGACATTTTTCATTCAGAGAAATACAAACATCCCTTCAATTTTTTAATGGAAACATATAAATGCATTTAATTCATCAATCTTATAATATGGCTCAAGCAAGGCCTTTTGAGTACTGAATCACAGTTTGGAGTTACAGGATATCTTTGCTACATAAGCTTGTATATAGTTTTCAATTTCTTGTCTTTTTTTTTTTTTTTTTAATCCGCACCAAAAGATATTTTTCCATTGATTTTTAGGGAGAGTGGAAGAGAGATGGAAAGACAGAGAGAAATATCAATGTGAGAGAAATACATTGATTGGTTGCTTCCTGCATGTGCCTCAACCAGGCCCTGGCTGGTGAGGAGCCTGCAACTGAGGTATGTGCCCGTGACCGGAATCGAACCTGGGACCCTTCAGTCTGAAGGCCGACACTCCATCCACTGAGCCAAACCGGCTAGGGCTCAATTTCTCATCTTTATTTCTTTGAAAAAAGAATGTAGAGTACTTAAAAGCAATCTGACAGCAAAAACCTGTAAATTTATTTATTTATTTTACAATTTTCCCCACATTTTTGTAGTTTCTTTCCCAAATCTAATTTAAAGCAATTTTTAATAGGTTTCCAAAGTGTTCAGCCCTGGCCAGGTGGTTCAGTTGGTTGGAGCATCATCCCGTACACCAAAAAGGTTGCAGGTTCAATCCCCAGTCAGGGTGCATACGGGGGCAACCAATCAATGTTTCTCTCTCACATCGATGCTTCTCTCTCTCTCTCTCTTCCCCTCCCCCCCTCTCTAAAATCAATAAAAACATATCCTTGGGTGAGGCTTAAAAATAATAAATATAGCCCAGCTGACGTAGCTCAGTGGTTGAGCATCGACCTATGAACCAGGAGGTCATAGTTCGATTCCCAGTCAGGGCACATGCCCGGGTTGCGGGTTCGATCCCCAGTGTGGGGCGTGCAGAAGACAGCCGATCTATGATTCTCTCTGATCATTGATGTTTCTATCTCTTTCTCCCTCTCCTTTCCTCTCTGAAATCAATAAAAATATTAAATAATAATAATAATAAATATATATTAAAATAAAAGTCAGGTTCCCTTTATTAAAAAAGTGTTCAACTTGATTTTCTTAGAAAAATTAATTTTAGAATTAATAATACTTACAAAAATAAGTTTAGGAACAAAAAGGACTATTAATAAGAATATAAATTAATTGGGGAGAAATGTAAAAGGTGTATTAGAAATAGCCTCCTTGTCGTGAACATAACGTGTGCTGTGACTATCAGACAGCATGATTTCCGCAGCAAAGATTTCAGCTTAATCCGCCAAGACAATTAAAAGATTAAGAGACCTTTTCCTATACAGGATTATAGACATGATATTAATAGGTAAATGTCAAACCAAAGCATTTCCAGTTGAAAGTATCAGAGCTTAAGATAAAATACCAGTCCATGGAGGGGGCTAAATGAAGGGAGGAGAATGGAGGACATCTGTAATACTGTCAACAATTTAAAAATAAATAAATAAATACCGGTCCAAAGACAGAGAAATGAGAAAAGAAAATATATACATTAGTAATTTCTTATACTTCAGTACCTTGTACTTGGTCCAGTGGTAAAATCTTTACACAAGGATCTTGCCTGTGAAAGGATTCCGCAGTGTTAGCCTCCTCCTCTTCAGTTTTTGCTCGATTGTTGGGGAAAGCTGACTCTTTGAGGACAGCATCTGACAAATGTTGACTTCCTATATGGCTCTTCTCCTAGAAACAGAAATTTTTTTTACTAGGGACGGAATATGATGAAATGTTAGTTAC